ACAGGTTGCCCTGCAGAGCTCTGAGCAGGTTGCCCCGCTGAGCTCTGGGCTGTCGCCGGTGCTGCGGATGCACGGGCGCCTGCCGATGATCAGGCAGCGCCTGCTGTTCCCCTTGGCGTCCGAGGAGTCCCCGGCGGGGTGCTGATGTCAAAGTCCTGGCGTTTCTTCTCCTTGATGTCGTAGTGCTCGGCTGTCTTGTCTTTGGGAGCTGCCCCTGGTGCCTTTGATGCGGCCCCCGAGAATGTCTTGTCGGTGCTGCGCCGCGTTGAAGAAACATTCCTTGCTAATCCCTGCACTGTCGGCATCCAGCCAGTCCTGTGCGTCCGACCCGGCGTAGGGCCGCGACGCGGTGCAGAGTCCTTCGGGGTAGGTGCGCTGGTGCCTTGGAACGCAGCTGCTGCGGCAGCCACCTCTGGTCCTCTGGATCGACGTCTATCAGCAGGTTGCCCCGCAGGTCGTTGCTGCTAGCTGCCTCCAGGGTTAAGGCCATCTGAGCTCTTCCTCCTCTTCTGCTTGGGCGGTGGTCTGAGCTGATCGGGCCCAAGCGACGGGCTCGACGAATCCGAAGATGGAGAAATATCAACAGGCGGATATGGCTTCGGCTTGGGAGCTGCCTTAGCCGTTGCCCCTGCCAGTGCCCATGGCCCACGTCGCGCGGGGCCCCGGTCAGGGTTCAGGTCTGTGCCGGCCTGCGTTCTGAAGGCCAGATGATGGATAGTGGCCTTTTGCTTCCCGGCCAAGAGATACTTGGTAGAACTAAGCCTCTGTTCTACTGTGGTCTTGAACCAATCTGCACCTCCAGCGCGGTGGACAATCCGTCTTCCAGGAGAAACGTCCATTCCTGCTGCGACAGCGTGCTCAGGATCTGTAGGGATGCCCGTTTCGTACGTGACGTCCGCGTTAGTGGAGTCGTCCGAGGCGTACCCTTCGGGGGCTTCATCCGCGGGGTCTACCTCTTCGGCCATCTCATCATCTTCATCTTCATCAGCTTCTTGTTGTTCGTCTTCTTCTGATTTGAGTGATTCAGGTTTTCCCGCGCGCCAATCGCGATTGAACTGCTTCAAATAATGCGGAGGTGAAAGGTGTTTCCATATCTGAATAGATTGGGATATTTCACAGACTGTTGCTTGCTCGTAGTCGTCTTCCGCCAAGTGCCTTTCATGTGGCGTTTTATTAGGATCGGTGCAGTAACCCCGACCATCACCATGAGAGCAAACCCGCGGTGTTCTCTTAAAGTTCGGGCTTCTTGATGGGCGTCTCATGGGGCAGCCGGGCCTGTGGTCGGCATGTTCGGGACACGTGGAACAAGCACCTCGCTCTCTCGAGGTCGCGATTGACAATATTGTCTTGTGTTTTAACAAGTCATGTCCTTGTCGAGGGAATGAGCTCGCCGCCATCACCTCGTGGAATATTGCGACGAGAATGCCAGCGACGAATCCGATGCTCAGTCCAACCCCAGTCCAACCTGCATTGCATCTTATCTAAGAGTATGTGCTGACGAACCAATCCAGCTTCCGCGTAACTAACAAGGCGCTGTATTCCGCCCTTTGGATATTCCTCTTGCGGTTGATCCTCTCAAGGCGGGTGCCCCCGCAGACGATCCCTCCTCGGGGGAGTGTCAGGTCTACTGGTCTGCCATGGGCGGACCTTTGAAACCTCCGCTTCATGAGGGCGAGGGCGCCGAAGGCCGCTAGAGCGAGCGCCGCTGGAGCGAGCGCGCACGTGGTCGGGCGAGGGGCCGGGGATCCGACCGCGACGTACCAGACGATCATTATCTTGGCATCTTTCGTCATCGTCGTAGGCGCGACCCTTTTTCCTCCAGACCTGGCGGCTTGCCGATCGCGCCCGGCGGCTCACAGAGCGGTCCGAGGCAGCGAATGTGTATTATAATCCTTCATCATGGCCGAGCTCATATTGAATGCGCTCAGACAGATCGCTAGTGTCTCGCGGGTTTCCCCGCAAAAGGTCATCGTCACTCAATTCAATTTCTGTCGGATTCCCATTAACCCGGTAATAATGCAACAACTGTATTTCCTCGCCTGTCGCAGGAATAGTGGCTCCTGAATCCGCGGGCGCCCCCGCCGCGTCTACAGCTCATTCGGCGGGCGCGCGGAAGTTCTCGACGCATTCAGTGTCTGCAGTTTGCCCCGCGATGGGCATGCCCAGCCAGTCTGCCAGATCGACATCGCTGTAGCTAGCGAACAGCTCCTCGAACAGCTCGCGCGCGCAACTCTTGAGGGCCATGCTGGCGCGCGCCAGGGTGCATGAGAGCCATGAATTTGACGACTGCAGCTGCGCGATGGGCAGGGTCAGCTAAAAGAGACCCCCAGTCAACACAATGCATGTCAGAATCGGTTTGAGCCAGATGCACTGCCGGACCCCTGCCTCCCCCATCGCCTTGAGGGCATTCGCGGCGAAATTGCTGTGTACTGTGGCGTATGTCGCACTCCATAGTCTTACCATTGGCATCCTTCGGGTTCCCCCGACGTCCTTTACCTTTTTTTCCTGATGCATGCCTGCGGTTCTGCCTGCGCCGAAAAGCATTTCTTCGTGCTGTGGCCCTGTGAGGGATGCTCGGAATCCTGATATGCCTCTACCATGCAATCGCCGACGCCTACCCTTGCCCTCACTCCGACCCTTGCCTTTTCCCTTGAGTGCTCGTCGTGTGATACGCCGTGCCCTGCGGACTGATTTCTTCATGGATCGCCTGCATATGCGCTTATGTTTCTTGTATCCTAAAAATAACCATGGCGCCTGTTGCTCTTCCGTGAGGAACGCGGGCATATCTGGGTAGTCAAGGGCTGTGGCTTCATCGTCCGAAGACGCATCGGTGTCAGTGCCAGAGCCGAAGTCGGACTCGGCAGGTTGCCCCGCTGAGCCCATTAGGGCCATGGCTTGCGCGGGGGATACCGCGTCGGGCGGCCCCCGAAGCCTGGCCCAGGAGTCTTGCGACCCCGAATCCGCTCCACCATTCTGGGCCAGCAGCGCAATGGTCTCAGTTGGTCGTGGATCATCACTCCGAACGTTGTTAGCAGGTTGCCCTGCGCTAGCCTCCACGTGAAAGGTCTCGGTTCGGTGACCGTGACTGAAATACCACACATGTTACCAGGGGTTCTCTCAACAGTGTGAGCATATGCCCTCGTACGTTCGAATAGTGCGTCAAAACGTTGCTGGTCTCTCGGCATGTGGTGGTTTAGAGGCTGCAGGAGTTGTTGTGCACGCGATGTCCCCGCTCCAAGAGCTCTAAATCAAATCGTTATTTAAATTTGGAAGTTGGGGGATGTTGAAGCCTGCCGTTTCAGCTTCATAGCGGGCTATCTGGAAGCGTGCTGACATCTGGTCGAATTGTTCTCCCGCGTGGACTCGGAAGTCGATGAGAGCTCTACCAGAATTGAGTTGGCGCTTTTCTTCCAAATTCTCGAACTTACTGCTTAAGAGGAACATGATGTAGGTGACGCCGTCGGTATGGCGACCACCTATGTTAACGCGTAAAATTGATAACTGCTGGGGGGGTTCTCATGGCTATGGTCCATGCGAGACCTCTCAAACCTCGCTGCAGGGCTGCAGCTTGCTGGGAGGGCGTCTTGTTGCCTGTGGTCACGTTGATCCAGGCATGTACCTCGCGGACGAATTCGCGAAAGGGTGGTTGACCGGATGGGTCCCAGTGAGGGCCGGTCGTTCTTGTGTCGTCTCCACCACGCCTATGTCCTACCGCGCACCCAATAGCAACCCATGTGAGCCCAAAGATAGTAACGCCAATCCAATGGCCCCGTAGGTCGTGGTCGGATGTAGTCGGTTGGGGCTTACGTTGTGTAGTCGACAGTCTGCATGGGGGTGGAGGCGGCACCGTATCGTATCGCATGTTTCCATGCGTTGTGTCTTCGAAGAAGCTTCCACTTGGAATAAGTGGGTGGACGTCAGGAGTGTAGTAGCACAGGGATGTAGGACGTAAGTAAATACCTCCGCGTAAGCAGAGGTATCGCTGCGAGTGTCCTTGCGATGATGCGTAATTCTATACATTCCTCCGCGCAAAACCACTGCACCTTGATGTTCCACCATGTATGTCGTCCACCAGATAGTGCCGTGGATGGCGAGGAGTAGAGCAAGAGCTGACCACCATAGGCCAGCTCCGCTACCAAGTTTGAAGGGGGATGGGAGGCCCAACCAGCAGCTTCGCCTTAGGCGAAGCCAAGCTCCAGCTCTGTTGTACCGTAGTAACGATAGTCCCAGTTGGAGAGGATGTGCCATCCTAGGCAATAGGATGATCTTTTTGGTCTCGATAGCAATCGTGTGTCTCGCAGTGAGACACAATCATATTTGGGCGGCCGGCCGCTTGAGCCGACGCGGCCGCGGGCACACGCTCGCTTCCGCTCCCTGTGTCCCCCAGCTCACTTTAGAGTCAAGAGTCCTCCCTCCCAAGAAGCCCGCAAGAGGCTCCCAAGAGGCCCCGAAATGCTCCCACGAGGCCCGATCGAGGCCTTCCAGAGGCATCCAATAAGCCCCACATCAGATCACAAGAGACCTCCCAAAGGTCTCCTCCTGCCCCCCCTGCCATTATATGCTGTCGCGGCACCCGAACTTTCGGTGCCCTGGACGTGAATCTCACTCACATTGGAGGTTGTCATGTCCTGGCGAGCCACCCAATACGCTCCTATTCAAGACATGCTCGGATCCAAAGCTAGGGCGCGCAAGGATGTCGGAGCAAATTTGAGGCTGAGCTCACCGAACGCTCTTGAACAACAAATAGGCCCGTGTTCGATGGTCACTGGAGCATCAAAGTGAAAAAACGTACGCAATGGGTGCAAGTTCAACCGTGTTTTGGACGCAAGCACTTGCGGGCGAAACCTGTGTTCGATGGCAACCTGAGCATGACATCAAATAAACACATACATGCTGGGAGCAAGAAAGCCTGTGAGATGAATCATGCTTCGGAACTCGCTTCGGAATGGGAGAAACATCCCTCCCTGCACGTCCATGGACAACTCTCCGCCCCCTTGCGCCTGAACTTGGCGAACTGGGGATCGCCGCTTTCCTGACCCGGGCCCCCTGATCTCCTGGACAACGGCTCCCGCTGTGAACACCAAAGCCTCTCCCCCTCCCCCTTGCACACGTCGTGCCCTCCTGTTCTTCCTCCTCCACTACGGTCTCCGTCGTGTTCTATAATGCAAGGACTCTTTAAAAACCCCGTCCCTCACCCTTCCCCATCCCGCTTCCTAAAACCTGGCTGGGTGGGGGCGGGGGTGCAGCGTTGTAAAACCATGTGGATCCGTTCCAGATATAAGAACAGATTGCAGTTTCGTGTTCTTCGCTAAAGCTTTGTGGGCTCTAGCGTGCACGAGCCTGCCAGATGTATTTGCCATCGGTTCGCCTTTATGCGCCCCGTCCTCAGCTGACGAGAGCGCGCCATGCTCAGAATGGGAGCTCATATCGGACGATTCAGGAGAGGCTCTTGAGTGGCGGGCTGCCTGCCTGCCGGAAGACGAGCCGACTTGCGCCGGGACGGCGCGCTTCTGGTGGTCCATCATCCCAGTGGTCACCGACCCCCCGTCCGATTCGGAGACGGACGAACCTATTTACCACCGTGCCTGCACGGAGTGGGCGTGTTAGAATGATCGTCTGTTGTCTGGGAGGTTTTTTATATTTCCTAGGGCCGCCGCCCACCCCCCTCCCTGCACGGCGCGCGTGGTTCGAAAACGGCCCCCTCTGACGTTGCCTTCTGGCGGTCTGTTCGGCCTCCAGACGGACAAGATGGTCTCCAAGACGGCTTCCAAGAAAACCATGACGACAACGAAACGGCTCAAGATGGCCCAAAATATCTCAAGAGCCTTGCAACACGGCCTCAAGACTGCCCGAGAAGCCTTCCAGAGGGCCTCAAGACGGCCCAAGAGGCCTCCAGGACGGCCGAAGAAGCTTTAAGAGGCCTTCCTGGACAGCGCGAGGGGGCCATTGATCTCGTTCCGCGTTTAAGATATTTTGAGGTTCCCGCCTGTTCGGGTTTCCGACCGCCTAAGTCGGCCCAAGAGGCCTTCAATATAGCCCCAAGACAGCCCAAGAGGCTCCGAAGAGGGCCCCACGTCGGCCCAAGAGGACCCACAGATCGCCGAATGGGCTCCCAAAGCGGACCCCAAAACGGCCTTGAAGCGGTCCAACATAACAGCAAGACGGCCCAAGAAAACCTCGCGGGCTGTCTTTAGCAGTCGGAAATCCAAACATGCCAGAACCTTTAATTCCTTCAAGCACCTAGGGAAAATCAGTGGTGTTGGTCTCCTCGGGCTTTCCTGGAAGGCCTCTTAGAGATCTCCTGGGTCGGCCTGATCTGTCTTAAAGCCTTCTTGGGAGCCTCATGGCCACCAGGACGGCGTTCAAGGCAACCAAGATGACGCCAAGATGGCTCAAAAGGCTCAATAGGCTCCCAACGCAGCCTCAAGACAAGGGCTCCAAGAAGCCTTCCTGGACAGCGCGAGGGGCCCAAACCCTGATCGGGTGTCCGACCGCCCGAGACGGCCCCAAAAACCTCCAAGATGCCCAGCTATAGCTCCAAGGCATCCCAAAATGTCCCCTAGGGGGCCCGAAATCGGCCGAAGAAAACCCACAAATCACCCAAAAAGCTCCGAAGAGGGCCCCGAGACAACCGTGAACCTCCCGAAGAGGGCATTAAGTCGGCCCAGAGAGGCCCCTGAGGCGGACTCCACAGGCGTCAGACAAGCCAAGAGTCCCCTAAGATGGCCGAAGATGCTCCAAGAGGCCCCAAGAGGCCCCGTGACGCGCCCATGCGGCCCCCATGAAGCGTCCAGGAAGCTCCCAGGGGGACCACAAGTGGCCCCAAGAAGGCCCCAATAAACCTTCTCCTCCTCATCCTCCTATCCTCCTTCTCCTCCACCTCCTCCTCCTCCGCCTCCTCCTCTGCCTCCTCCTCCTCCTCCTCCTCCTCCTCCTCCTCCTCCTCCTCCTCCTCATCGCGACCCGTCCCAAACACGGCTTCCGCGTGTGACCAACGCCTGGCATGTCACATGTGACGGCTTCCGCGTGCGACCCACGCCCGACATGTCACATGTGACTTCTTCCGCGTCTGACCCACATCCGACATTTCACATGCGACGGCTTCCGCGTGTGACCCACGCCCGACATGATCCGACATGTCACCCGTGACGGCTTCCGCGTGTGGCCAACATCCGACATGCATCATGTGACGGCTTCCGCGTGTGACCCACGCCCGACATGTCACAAATGACGGCTTCCGCGCGTGACCAACTTCCGACATGTCACACATGACGGTTTCCACGTGTGACTCCCTGTTCGTCAGAATTGCGCTGTTCTCAGTCTCCGTCCCGCAGCGCTGTTGCACAAGCGCGATGATAAATCTGCCTTTGGGTCGACTCGTGCCCAACCCGCAGCGAACTTAACTTCGCGCATCGCGCCCCACGGTGCGCGATGATTGTCGCGTTCTCGCGCCGCCCCCTTAGAGAACTGCAATCGCTCTGGCCCAACTCGCGACGCGCGAAACGCCATTATACGAACTTCTCCCTGGATGGTATAGCTGCCGTGTCGGCATCATTACGCCATGCAATGGTTGGATGTTCGCAATGCTTATGGCGTACCGCGCTCGGCTTAGTGATGCTTGTTGTATCGCTGGCCGCCATGCGCATGCTCTGATGAGCCAGAACGTGCACCGAAGCCAACATGATGTGCTGGAGCGCCACGGCGCCCCACTGGCAATACGATCACACCATGACATCCGCAAGAAGCGCGCATTGAATACTTGACAACCGAAATGCATCCCTGGATGTGCATCCCCATCACGGAATCTCCCTCAATACGCCAACCGTCACCCAGATCGAACAGCCTGCGAACATCTATCAATACATGCTCTGCCCTGAATGTCGGCCGCTTCCCGAATGTTCCAAGACTGGCGATCTATGGTGTTTTAGATCACGTCCTTCCCATGCATAGGTCTCGTCCCCTTGCTGCACGGAGTATGGACATGTTCTTGTCATACTCATTGGTCTCATGTGGAAGAGCGCTCGACTGCGCTCTCCCCGAATGTGTGTTCATGTTGCTGCGGACCAAAGTCGCAACCGCCGCCCTCCCCGCCCGCCAAAACGGCACACGAAACTGTCATCCACCGAAGCGGCAAAAGCGGTTGCAACACTCTATCACCCATTCGAAAACTTAACCTAATCCGCCCTCTGCGCACCACGAAACTTGATGACGTTCGTGCCCCCGCATGTGCCCTAAACGGATCACTGGAAAACAACCCGCACACAAATGAATTCAAAGATCGATCAGCCGTCCCTCGAGCCGTGTGCCGCGGGCCCCGCCCCCTGGTCCATGCGGGAGCCGCAGACGTCGCAAACGTCCTTGAGGAGCGCGGCCAGGCCAAGAGCGGCGGCGTATTACCACATCCATTTCCCTCGCTGTCCTCCTCCTCCTCTTCTTCCTCCTCCTCCTCCTCCGAATTCTTCTCCACCACTCCTCGCGTTCCTCCTCCTGCAAATAGCCCAACATACTACTTGTCACGGCCACCAACGCAATCGAACACATTTTTCGTCAACGGCGAGGCGGCGAACTCCGCTCCAACGAGAAAGCACACTCGACAACATGAAACGTTGCACATACCGCTCACCGCCCGATAGCGGCAAACAAGTGGCACGTGTGCCATGGCTCTCGCACGCATGAAGGGGGAACGGTCGGATGGGTGTGCCGTGCCGAAATAAACGGGGTCGGGGCGGCGGGGCGCGCTGGCTTGTGATTGGGTTGATGGGGGGGGCGTGCTAAAGGGGTCGGGGCGGAGGGGCGCGCTGGCTGGTGGGTGGGGGGATGCGGAGGGGGTGCGCGGGGAGGGAATGGGGCCCGTGCCGAAATAAAGGGGTCGCGGGGCGGAGGGGACGCGCTGGCTGGTAAGTGGGGGGATGCGGTGTGTGTGTGTGTGTGTGTGTGTGCCGTGCCGAACTATGGAAGTCGGGGCGGAGGGGCGCACTGGCTGGTGGGTGGGGGAGTGCGGAGGGGGTGTGCCGGCGGAGGGGTGTGCCGTGCCGAAATAAAGAGGTCGGGGCGGAAGGGCGCGCTGGCTGGTGGGTGGGGGGATGCGGAGGCGGTGTGCCGTGCCGAAATAAAGGGGTCGGGGCGGAAGGGTGTGCCGTGCCGAAATAAAACAAGTCGGGGCGGAAGGCGCGCTGGCTGGTGGGGGGGTGCGGGGGGGGTGCCATGCCGAAATAAAGGCGTCGGGGCGGAAAGGTGTGCCGTGCCGAAACAGATGGGTCGGGGCGGACGGGGCGCGGGGGGGGGCGTGCGCCGAAATGAAAGAGTCGGGGCGGAGGGGGTGCGCTGGCTGGTGTGGTGGGGTGCAGGGGGGGTGCCGTGCCGAAATTAAAGGGGACGGGGCGGGGGGGTGCACTGGCTGGTGGGTGGGGGGATGCGGAGGCGGTGTGCCGTGCCGAAATAGAGTGGTCTGGGCGAAAGGGTGTGCCGCGCCGAAAAAATGGTCGAGGCGGAGGGGCGCGCCGCGCCGAAAAACATATGTCGGGGCAGAGAGGTGCGCCGCGCCGAAACAAAGGGTTGGGGGTGGAGGGCGCGCTGGCTGGTGGGCGGGGGGGGATTCGGAGGCGGTGTGCCGTGCCGAAATGCAAGGGTCGGGGCGGAGGGGTGTGCCGCGCCGAAATGAAAGGGTCGGGGCGGAGGGGGCGCTCGGGGGATGGGGTGCCGTGCCGAATGAAAGGGGTCGGGGCGGAGGGGGCGCGCTGGCTGGTGGGTGGTGTGTCTGTGTGTGTGTGTGTGTGTGCGCGTGTGTGCCGTGCCGAACTAAAGGGGTCAGGGCGGCGGGGCGCGCTGGCTGGTGGGCGGGGGGGGGTGCGGAGGCGGTGTGCCGTACCGAAATAAAGGGGTCGGGGTGGAGGGGTGTGCCGTGCCGAAATGAAGGAGTCGGGGCGGAAAGGCGCGCTGGCTGGTGGGCGGGGGGGGGATGCCGAGGGGCTGTGCCGTGCCGAAATCAAGATGTCGAGGCGGAAGGGTGCGCCGTGCCGAAATAAAGATGTCGGGGCGGAGGGGCGCGCTGGCCGGTGGGTGGGGGGGGCAGAGGGGGTGTGCCGTGCCGAAATAAAATGGTCGGGGCGGAGGGGTGTGCCGCGCCGAGAAAAAAAAGGGGTCGGGGCGGAGGGGCGCGCTGGCTGGTGGGTGGGGGGGATGCGGAGGGGGCGTGGAGGGGGTGTGCCGTGCCGAAACAAAAAGGTCGGGGCGGAGGGGTGCGTCGTGCCAAAAATAAAGGGGTCGGGGCGGAGGGGCGCGCTGGCCGGTGGAATGCGTGGGTGATGGAGGGGGTGGCGTGCTGAAATAAAATGGTCGGAGCTCTAGACGCCCTGTGCAGGGGAATAAACGCATCGATATAACTTATGAAGAGGCATGGATCTTCGCCGACTAGCGATAATATAACACCTCCACACCTCGATACGAACTTCCGGATGACTGATGGGGAAGTAATAAATGCGACAAAACGTGCAAAACATTGTAATATTCGTATGACAATGGACCGTTCAAATCTGCGCTCTGTCGTGAATCTGCCGTGGCAACTGGTTTACGGTTGAAAATTGTAGCCTCAAGTTCGTGAAGCAGACGGCTTAAATCAGGGGGGGGGTCCCCGCTGCTTTCGTTAGCTTGGCGGCGGTGGGCAGCTAACCTCAATTCACAAATGCACTGGGGCTAACGAAACCGCGATGCAGTCTTCAAGTAGCTAACTTGCTGGAGTGGCAGCAGAGGGCACATGGGACAAGTCAGTCGGCTCACTTAACGCCTCACCTATGGTGTTCGAAACCTGCCCTGGCTGGGCACACTGTTTGACGGACAATGGGGCCTCTGGTTGTCCAAGTGCTCGGCGTCCGCGTAGCTGTCTGCGAGCTCGTGGCCGCAACGCTATCATGGGCCTGTGTGCAGCCAATGCCCATCGCCGATGCGCCACGGAACGCTGTGGTCCTCGATGGGACCGTAACAACCGCATGCCAAGTCTGGTAATTTCAGGTACCCGCTTCCTGCAGGCAACTAAGCCCCAGAACTCGTGCCCGCTACGCGGATCCACCATCCACCGACCTCCTTTAACCACGCCCCATAATCGCGGACTGGAAACCAAACTTGCCATAACCCTGAATCCGACGGTAAGAACCCGCATCGTCACTCCCTTGGTGTACATGTGCGTGTCAATCGACGGCTAACGATGGAGATGATGCTGACATGCCAGAACTCTAATATGCCGTGATGCCAGGAAGCCACGACACCAAGATGCCATGATGCGAGGAATGCCAGGACGCCAGGGTGCCATGATGGTAGCAGGCCAGGAGTGCCAGGATGCCAAGATGCCAGGGTACCAGGCGGCCAGGGCGCCAGCATCGCAAGATCCAAGGATGCCTGTGCGACCTGTGCGGCCTGGACAATGGCCATGTTCGCACAAGCGCGGCCGTTATCCTACTCATCATTCAGGAACTTGCCGACCGCTCTCTTCAAGTCGCGAAAGGCTTAACCGCGCGCTACCAGCAGTTCGCCCCCTTCGACATAAACCCGAACGAAATGAACGTCTATCATCCAGAACATGCGGTTGTCTGACACCCAAACTGGAATTGTTAACCCTCGTCGCACCATTGACACCACATCTCTTCTCGCTTCGCAATCTTCTGCACCGCGAAAAGGATACATTCCGTTCCCTCCAACATCTTTAGTGGGGCTATTGTTTTTTTGGACACCCCGCGCAATCTTCCTCCTATCCCCTCTCGTTCTCTTCTCCCTTCGCACCCATCACTATCACCACTATCATCATCAGCGGCGCTATCGTCATCGTCATCATCATGCCATCACCATCACACTCCGAGGCGGCCACCAAAAAAACTGTGTATATCTGTAACAACGCAGGTTGTGTGTCCATCGGGGGTCTTCTCTCTCTCTCTCTCCTCCTCGTTCGCGTGTGTGTTTTGTGCTGTGTATGTCTGTGTCGTGCGTCCCTCTCCCTCTCTCGTTCAACCGAGCGCCGCCCGGGAGCCATCCTGCTCGTCGGACCCATTTGGCCCGAGACACACAAGCGTTTCCTGGCCAGGGTAACGTCACGATGATGATGATGATGATGATGCTGATGACGATGACGATGACGATGACGATGATGATGATGATGATGATGATGATGATGATGATGATGATGATGATGATGATAATGATGATGATGATGATGATGGCGATGATGGTGATGCTGCTAGTGCGATGATGACGGCGATGGTGAGTGTGATGGGGATGGTGGTGATGATGACGATGAGGGTGGTGGCGATTTTGATATCAATGGTAGTGATGATGACGATGATGATGACGCATGTTGTGAAGGTTCTAAGTCAGCACAATCGGTTGGCGTCGATACAACGTTTCAGAACCGGGGCAAAGCGCAAGCAGAACTGACGGGGATTGGGCTCAGCGACGCGAGTCCAGAGTTTGCCCGAGCTCTGATCCACTCCAGTGCGGACCACGTGGGGTTTCATAGAACAAATGCGAGCTCCCTCCCCCCGCCCGTGACAAGAGTGGGAAGCTCAACTGAGAACCTGGGGGCCCAGATTTGCACCCTGGTCCTTTTGCGCCAACGAGCCCCGAAACCACAGTAATCTACCACGCAGGCCTGGCTAAACGAATGACGGGCCAGGCGCTCGAGCGAAGAGACCTTCCACAACCAACTGGCTCCTGGGTTCTCGAAGGCGGGGGTGCCCGCGCGGAGACAACCCCGGATCACCCGTAAACGAAAACGTAATTGAGCGTTGCCACGTTTGCATGCGGCAGAGGCCCTCGGGCCCACGTGTGGGATGCCCCAGACGTGCTCTGACCTACGCAGGCGGCGCAAGCCGGAGCCGGGGGGCCGTGGCGGGCCTGGAACAATGTGCAACAAGGGGCCCCCATCCATCAGCACAAACGGTATTACTAGAAATCCACCCCAAAATCGCACTCTGGACAGAATCGCGGTTCAGGTCGAACCAGGGCTGTTTCAATATGTCGACAGCAACCACGGCAAACGCTTGGGTCCTCATGGCCCTGGAAATCCCGGCCTCTCCGGCGTAAAGCTCCAAGAAAATCAGTCTCTGGCAGGCGCGTCGCGAAGCGCGACGAAGGCGAAGCCTAACCCCGCAGTCAGTCAGGAGGGGCGCAGCGCTGGGAACGGCGCCGGTGGCAGCGCCGAGCCGGCCTCGAAGATGCTGGTCAGCTGCTGCTGCGTCTGGCAGCCGAAGTCGATCGCGGCCTGGGGGGCCTTGTGCAGCTCCGCCAGTGCCCGCGCCTCCTTGCCGCACCGCTTGAGCATGGCGTCGCTCCGCCACCTGCCGCGCGCCGCCACCTCCAGCGAATTCCGCCG